GAATCTGGTTTTTCATCAGTACACAGAACAGAAATCCCCACAGCTTCCATCAACCATGAATCAAACTTTTTTTTCTGTAGTCTAGGAAAGCAAGATTAAAAATGGATCATTAGCCAGGTTTTCTAAGGAAGTAAGGCTCACAGGATAATACTGTCTGTGTGTCAATCCTTTCCTAATAACAAAACCTTATTATTTAATCTACTTGCCAATTTCAGCCAAATTTGACAAGGAAGTAGATATTAAACCTCAAAGATATTAAGTTCTTAAAACGTTCATGAAATCAGGAGAGAGATCGCATTCATGCCCTCTCTGAGGAGAGACCTGAGCAAGAGTTCAACTATATTATTAGATTATACCAGATAATATTATTATAAATAATATATATATTATTGTATTATACCAGAGAATCCACATGAGGGGGGAAGAGAGGGAGGCATTCCAGCTCTGGGAAGTGCTGATGAGGAGTTTCACACTGTCAGGATCTGTCCCCTGGCCACCACGTGGCTCCTTCTGCTGCCCAAGGAGAGCCTTGGTTCTTAACGCTTGGGGGCTTCTCAGGTTCCCTGATGGTGAGGGTCTTGTAAATTCCTAGATAGTTACATCAGGCATTCGTTTCTGTATTGGAATACTTCTGCCTTTTTCTTTCTGGAAGCTTGCCTTGCTGTTTGGAGCTTGGGCTCTTGAGTAAGGTCAATGAGCATTCCCAATAAATGGGTCGTGCTTTCAGGGAGAAGGGCTATGTCCATACCTGTGAACAAAAGGGACAAAAGCCTCCTTCCTGGTCCTAAAGGCAGGTGACAAGACTGGCTATTACAAAGAAAGGAATTGTCACAAGGATCAGAGAGGTTTCATCAGGTGCTCTCTGAGAGAGCTGTGATGCTTCCAAAGGCTGTTCTCATTGGGCTTCAACCAAACCTGAATAAACCTGATAAAAACTTCATCTGGAAGGGTGAAAGAAAGTGCCAGTTTTGATGCAGCAGTAAGTTCTCTTTCCCCTCTCTTTGCCAAAAGCCCACTTCACTCTCTTTCTCTCACTACTTGTCATTCTGAACATCAGGTTTATGGTGCATTTTAAAAAACATGCGGGTTCAAATCCTCTACCTCTTTACAATACAGAAAAAAAAATAACTGTGTTATATTTTATTATTTGTGTTTGATTTAATTATGTCTGGAACTTTAAAAATATTGTGGCACCTTGTCCTTAGCTAAACCTTTCCAGTAGCTCCCTATTTCCTTGCGGATTGTGTTTTGGTAGTTGAGCTACTTAGCATCTGTATTTCCATATGTTGTGTGTATTTGAGTCATATCACAGTTGGGAATGGAAAGCACTTTATAAATGTCCCCTTGCTCTCTTTATTCATATAGACTCCTTCCCAGCGATATTTCTGAATGATGCCCTGACTTTTAGAGTACTCCTATGGGGCACAAACAGAGAAAAGATGCATAAAGCTGTTCTTTTTGTTTGTTTTCTTCTCCTCTCAGTGTAATAAATGATAAAAGAGAGTTTGCAAAGTCAGTGCCTGGCTCTGTAGAGTGCATCTTGTCTGGTAGGTTGTAGGTTATCAGAATGTGTACAGTGATAACAAGCAATGTACAGGGAAGTTTTTTCTTCTAGCTAATGTGGTTGTGAAAGTACAAAAGAGTCAGAATGACTATTTTTGTTTGTAGTAGAGCATCCCTTCGGAGCTTACTTTCAGCACTTAGTTTCTTTCAATTTATTGTCTTTTTTAGTTGCATATTTTTAGCACCTATGTGCAACTAGTTTCTAATGCCTTTGTTTAGTGTATATAAAGCTGCGCTATAAAGTTGTAAGTGCTGGAAGATCTAGGGGAAAAATGCTGATTCCAATGGAAACTTACTATCTTCCTCCCCTTTATCTGTGCCTTTCTAACATCTCTATTTCTGTAATTCTGTGCCCTGAATTTTGCCCTGTTTTTCCAAGGTGACATGATGACCATGACATAGGTTATGACTGTGAGTGGCTCCTAGTGCTACCTCCCATGTTGCATTTTCTTTCATGGCCATTTGGCTGTTGCCAGACAAAGTTTGATTCATTTATCTCCCCATATTAGTTTCCTGATTTGCTGTCCAGTAATTTATGACTGCATGGATCTTAGGTGCTCATTACACTGCCCAGTGACCCTTGCGACCCCATCTCCCCACCTATTCTCAGCCTTTTTGGCCCCTGGGCCAGTTGTTAATGCTGCAAGATGGAGGGCCTGGTATGCTCATGCCAAGGTGGATAAAAGGTCACCAGCCTCATCTCACACAGCTTTTAGCGTATGGCATCATGGAGCAACATGGTGGCTGTGCAGTATCATCTCGTAAGAGATATTTCAGCAGAAGTCCGCAGCAAAAGTCACATGCTAGTAAAGGCTAATCAACCTTTAGATTTCACGTCTGTTGCCAAATTTAAAAAAAAAAAAAAAAGGAAAAAAAAAACACAGATGAATAAACAGAAATAAATAAATAATCCACCCTGAATTGGTTACCATGGGAGTAAATTTTGGGTCAGTTAAAAAACAAAGAGGGATAGCTTATGAGGGCCTGTTTAATAGCTTACTGTATAAAACTGGAAATGGTTTGACAATGTGGTGGTTGACACGGAAAACAGAGCTGGGATGGAAACTCTCCCTGCCTGAAGAAGATTGGAACGTCAGTACTTCTTTTATTCTGCATCAACATCCTTTGAAGGTTTTTGTGCAATGCCAGAGGCCTGTCAGAGGGGTGAGCAGGAGGTGTGAAGAGTTTCTAACAACTCAATGAACAAGGTATTCAGGTGCAAGGTTCTACTTGTCTAGTTTTTCACCCTTGCAAGCTGAGAACTGGAGTTCTTGTTTGACCACTTAATACCAAATACCTGGAATTTAGACAGTGAGAAGGTGATTGTGCAGATAAACAGATGTTGAGGGTAAAACCCATATGTTGTCTCTGACTTCCCTGCAGCCTGGGTCAGAGCTGACTTCTCGCTATCCATCAATTGCTTGTAGCCGCCCGTGTCCTAGACCCATTTAATTTACTAGTAAAGACAGAGAAGATACCTGTCCCAGCCAACTGCCCCCAGCTTTATTTGTTATTTTCATCATGATGCCATCTGTACTGAAAGACATGTAGGTAGCTGAGACGTTGCTCATGTGGTGAGGAGCCAGAATATACAGTCCAGATAGATATACTGCAGCTTGAGGGGAATATTGTGAAGAAAATACTGAGTAAGTGGCTTTATGTGGAGCAGTATCTTTGACTTCAACTTGGTGGAATTCCCCCAGTTATGGACGTGCACCTTTTGCAGGGTAGGACTTTATCCTGTGCATAAATACAAGCAGAAATGCAGTGCCAAATGAGAGCATGGTCTGGTGGCCTGGACAGTTATTGGTGGTGGTATTTTCAAAAGCATGTCAGCAACATGTTTGCTTTCTTCACTGTTTTGGTGGTACACTATCAATTAGAAAGATAAGCTATGATTTTTCCCTTCCGTCTTTTCACCACCTGAGCTATATTTAAAACATGAAAGACTGAACACTGGGGGAATGTGAAGAATGAGCAAGAAGGGAGAAGTGAATTGCTTTCTTTTCTGATGGCTATAACTGTTTACACTAATAGTGCAAACTTGTTCATTTTTTGACCAGGATTGATTTTGACGGTGCTTTTTTTGCTGTAGTGTAGATCCTTAGTACGGGGTTATGATGCCAGTTATGCAACATATGTAGAGTATGTGTAAAATGCATCTCCAAGTACCTGCATGTGCAAGCTTATCAACTCTTTTTTTTTTTTTTTTTTTAAAAAAAAAAAGGACTGTAACTTCTGAAAATACATCCTCTCCCTGATGTAACGTACAAAGATCCAACATTGTACTTCCCCCTAGAACGTCTGGGGAAATGCACTTTCCTGCCGACATATCGTCCTTTAACAGGACTCCTGCTGGTAGGACCTTGTGTCCTGCTGTGACAGCCATGACCATGTGTGCCACTGATTGTTAGTGGGCAATATAAACCTGATTGGAACATGCCCGCTAATTGGTTTGAGAGCTAGATATAGACAATGCTGTTTTATAGCAGATTGTGTAGATAGGCCTAGTCATAGGGTTAATTCTGCTTGACAGCACATCAGCAGCATCTTGAGAGTAATTACCCAACTTAAGTTTTCCCACAGTTGAATTGAGATCTTCAAAGGCTTCTACATTTACAAGTATTATTAACCTATATCTGAAACATGATGTTCCCACAAGGGCTAATTTTTTCTTTCTTTTATTAAATATACAGGTTATAGGGTTCATTTGCTAAGTGCTAAGCCCTTAGAAGAAAACACTACTTGTTAGAGAGAGAAAAATCTGTAGTGCACGACCAAAGCTAATGGTGCATAATGCACACATCATTGTCTTTTTGCAAAGACTTTAAAACAAGTTAAAATTTAGGTCTGGCTCCCTTCCTCTCTCCCTCTCTTCCACCCCCCGCTTTCCACTTTTAAGAAAATCAAACCACTTATTCCTATGTGCAGAGTGAGTAAATTGAAGACACACACAAACAAAACCCTCCTAGGATGTTGTACAATTAAGTGCAGATCATTGGATACAATACATATGACATTAATGAAACGGTATCTGCTTCAAAAATAGATTGGAAACATTCGTGAATAAATTAAATCCTGTTAATGACTTTTTAAAAATGAAAATGAATTAAAACAATATTTATTTCATAGGAACAACTGTGTGTCGTGATTCACAGAATATAATTTAATCCTGTTTTAAATTTATATTCTATTTTCTGTGTTCATTTTGTGATTTGTCTTTTAAAATATCTTCTTTGTAACTGTTCATTATAAAAACACAAAATATTAAAAATCACAGCTATCATTTGTGTTCAAATGCCATCAAATGCATAAAATATTAACACACGCAGATGGGCAGTCTTGTTAAATGCAATATTTTCTGGGTGGGGAGGCAAATGGCTTTTATGGCATGAAGCGGATCTTGTAACTTATGATCTTTTTATTTTCTTTTGCAGGTCAGAGACGAAGTTTGACTCCAATTCAGGTATGTTTAGATTTACGGTGTTTTGCTGAATGTACACTACTCAGGTTAATCTCAAAAGAGTAGTTTATCAGTTCAAGTTCAGTTTAGTTTTAAACAAACTGGGGTAGGTCAGCCTTAAAAAGGATCTTCATTTCTCACCCTCTAAAAACAGCATCATTACAGTGAAACATTTGCTTTCGTTCCTTTCATTAGTTCCTGTCTTTTTACTTTTTCCCAGAAGATGATCAGGAAGATGTATCTTGCCACAGGCTTTAATTGATCCAGAGAAATTATAGTGCAAATAAATGATAATACAGGCTAAAGCAAATGGAGGGTTGAAGTGAAGTTTGAGAATGATCACAGCTTTAAAGGAGAATGTTTTTCTTCCTGGTGGACAAAGACATTTCATGGGAATTTGAAGTCAGTGCAGCCTATCTGTCAGGAAACAGATGATTTGTCATCAAATTTTCGTGACAGATGCATGTACACAATGCATGCCAGACCAGTCTGTAGAGCTCTCTCTAGGAGGTTTACCAAAAGGCAGTCTCTCTCCAGTTGGCTTTTTAAAGAATTTTAATGTGTTGTAGGGATTGGGAGGGAAGTGAAGGTCATTCTAACAGGTTAATGTGTATCTAACAAGACGAAAAACACAGGACAGCAAACAGGGGCACAGTTGGGAAAAAAGCAGAGCTCCTAATACCAGAATGTTATTTATTTGGTTAACTATTCTTGGCTGTTCCTAAACGTTAAACAATAGTAGGTTAAGAATAGGCTGAAGTCCTGAAACGAGCTGAAATGTCCATTGCCTGGCAAGGTCACTCAAAATAATTTTTTTGTTAAGGTGGAAAAGAGAAAGTCTGATATTATCATGGCCATCTTATGTTTAGGCCTATGTTGTCTTCTAATCAATTTGCTTAATGCAGTGATTGTAATTGTTTATAATGATATGCATTTTACAATACACATTGATCAGATTATTTATAAAATAGCTTGGTTTCTTTTATCCCAGCTACAGCTTGATTTGGGTTTGCAATGTGAGGTATTACTTTGCTTTTTCTTTCCACACTAGATTTTATCTTTGGAACTGTATGGGAGTGAAACCTACAGCAGGAAGCATTTATATAGCTAATTCCAGCATCTTTTGTGCTTGAGTCATCTTGCTTCTATTATGATTTTAGTCTATGATTTTGAAGTTACTTGTTTTAAATGTTGCTTGAATGTACTGTATGCTAAGATTGTTTCTTAGATCCTGACCAAACAGGTTCATGTGGGGGGATAGCTTCACACATTTTGTGCCACCCCCCAAAAAATAATGTTGTGGAATATGGTGTTAAATATCTCACTTTTCTGTGGAGGGGGAAATGCTGCCTGCAGGACTTTGGGTTAAGCTACACACACTTTTCTGACTTGTTATTTTGAAGCAGCATTCCTGCTCTGTGCCCTGCTCCTTGGCCACCAAGGCAGGGGTGAGGGATCTCCTTGGTAGCAGAGCACAACTTTGGCACCATCACAGCTATGGCAAACGCCTGCTCAGTAGATGCCACCAGGCCTTCGTGATCGGCTCTGTATGTTGAACGTGAGCTCTTAAATGTCTGTTCTTCATCCGTGTGGGCTCCACAGGCTTTCTGTCCTTCAGTGTGGACCCCTGTTCTGGGTGCAGACTTCTGCCATATCTCACACAAACCTGGTTATCCAAAGACAGGAGCGCTGGCGTCGCTCTGCCTGCCTCCCCGCTCTTCTGCAGGCACTCCTTAGGCATTATTCCTACAGAATAGGACCAGATGTTAGAAAAGGATTTGTAAATAAAGACCTTTTATCGTAGACACAAAAAATATATAAATGTAAATGAGCAGTAAAAGCCCCCAAATCTTCTCTGTCTCCACGTTTTTTGCTGCTCCTAAATATTCTCTGGACTTGTACCACAATTCTCTGCAGCAGGTGGTCAGCCAGCTTTGTTTGCTGAGAATCAACATCAACAGGTACCGTGGATGTCTAGGGAATTTTAAGCCTTGTGCCATGCTGCTTTCCACTTCAGAGTGCTTTGTATGCCATCAGGGATACAATTTGGGAATGTCCAGGGTGGAGGAACTTTTTAGATTTATTCCCCCTTTTTCTGCAGAGCCTCACTTTCATCTTCTGCTTGACACCGTTCCCCTAAATCCCTGAGGAAACCTTCAGTTTGAAATGTTTCAGGCTCTCCTGTCATGAGACCCTGGCCATCTGCCCAAGGTTTGAAGGCTTCTCACCTGGTGATCCAAGGTGAATCACCAGTGTGGGTGGCTGCTCAGCCCAGGCTGGGCTCCGGCTCAGTTTATTCTTTGCCCCAAATGTTGTCTTTGGAACAGGGAATTACAGACATTTAATGGCTTGGTCTTATCAGTGCTGCCTCTTTCAGTGTCACATCCCAGGACAGTTGTTAAATGATAATAGAAAAAGAAGATTAAGCACACAATTAAGATGGCATTTTAAGAAAAAGGAAATTACAGAAAGTTCATAACCTTAAAGTGCATTTCATGTCCAGAAACACCAAGGCTGCAAAAATCTTTATCTTTGTGAAAAGTAGAGCAGCCTTCCCTTTACAGGGATGGTGCTCAGATCTTTCACCAAGAAACTCTTCTTGGTGGTCAGATAGCGTAAGCACTTAGAGTTTCTCTTTTGTTCCCAGTATGTGAGAGCAGAGGAGAAATAGAGACACTGAGATCAAGTCAGCATGTTTCACCCAAATAAAACATTGTTGTTTTTATTTCTCCACCAAACAATTTCCTGTCCCACTCCCCAAACCAAACAATACACCCAGACCTCCTGGTGGCTCAGAGTGATCAGGAGGGACGGGAGGGATGCATTGGTGATGGCAGAGAGGCATCTTGGTAAAAAAAAATAAAAAAATAATCTTTTTCTAGTATGAGGGAATAAGATGCTCAATGTAGCACCATGTTCTACATACCACGTGCCTTTGAAATGTGTAAATGTGGCATTGCTTTTAAAAGGGCTGCTGCCATTTGAAATCAATGACTCTGTATTTATGTGACCTTGAGTTCCTCGGAGACACCTTAAGGTACTTTCATGTCCCTCGTTTCGTTTTGAATTCCCTAGACTGTGATTCCTGAGTAAACCAATGATCCTGCAAACTGGAACAAACATGCTTTGTTTGAGTTTATCTCATGTTACTCAAAACAGCTCAAGTGTTGAACCTGAGAATGAGATAATTTTATTCTAAAATGAATATTTTCCTACAGGGAGCTGTTCTACAACCTGCTGCGTGCCCTAAATTAACCCTAATGTTAATTCGAGTTAACTTGTGAGCCTTGATGTGTCCATGTTAAGCATTTATCAATGCTTATTGTACTTCTTTTGCCCAGAAATATGTGCGAAGTACTGAGGAATTAAAAGAAGTCTTTCTGAAGCAAGTACGAAGTCTGGAATACAGCTTTAAAAGTGCCCAGTAGGCTCACCATAAATGAAACCCTGGAAATAGTGTTCAACACTGAAATATTAGGCAAACATTGTCAAAAGAAGATTAATTTGAACTTGAGAATTAACTTAAAAGAAGGCTGTAAAATTCCTATAGTGATGATCGGGATTTATCATATAAATAGCTATAACATCTGTAGGGGACGCACATTCCTCATCCCATGACTAACAGTTCCATCTGAGCAACTTTTTTACTCTGCTGACTCTTTATAAGTCTAGCTGGCAGAATTTCTGTCTCAGAGACCAGGGGGTTAGCCTCACGCTGTTAGAAGATCCCATGAAATGAAACAATTTTGCTTTCCTGTCACAATATGATGAATTTTGCTGGAACTGGAAATAGATTTTTCTAAAAAAACTTGAAAGCAAAAAAGATTAGAAAAAAATAGTTTTTCTCAAAATTTGTTAAGGAACAAAGTAAACCACAAAAAAAGGCAGCTGAATCAAATTTGTTCTAATTATTAGAATTTTGGGAGTGTCTAAAATACGTGGTGTGCTATGTGCTTGGTTAGCAAATTTTAAAGGCTCGTATTTGCTTTTGGTGCAGAGCAATACCAGGCGTATAAGAGTGAATTTAAGAATGTAAGAATTATATTGGAATGTTAAGGAAAGATTTTTTTTTTCTTTAGAGAAAAAATTATACTTGTTTATGCTGTTCGATAGCAGGGAGAACTCGTAGATCTCAGAAGTTGCCACTGAACTGTGTAATCCCACTTTAGAAAAATAAGCATGGAAAATTCAAACAACCATCTCAGCACGTCCTCTGCTCACCAGTGAATGGTAGTGGTGAGTTTCCTCCTGCCTGCAGGGAGGGCTGGAGCTTTCTTGGGAAGTCTCCTGTGATATTTGGTGTATCCTGTCTGTCGCTGCGGAGGTGAGCCATGTGATAGTCAAGTGATAGTTTTGGCAGTGAAATTGTGAACGGGAAGAAATCCGAGGTTTGTTTTGTGTTAAAGGGGAGCCACAAATCCCCGGACAATACACTCGGACTCCAGCGGAGTCTCTTTTGTGTACGTGTCACTCAGAGGGTTGAGCAAAGGAAGTCAAAGGGCGCAGTGGCAGAAGAGAGAGGCACGTCCAAGGGCACACGATGCCTTTGGCTCTATCTGCATCACCCCCCGTGCCAGCCTTCCCCTCCTCCCACAAAAAGAGATGCAGCTCCAAATCCAGCTTTTCTCTTTCTCCACTCAATTGAACCACACACATCTACAAAATTTAGTGAAATGCACAGATCATCTGTGTGATTTTGTACCACCATTTGTGTAAATACTTCGGAAAACTTTCCAATTAGCATCAGGAATTAAGGTATAATAGCTGCCTGTGCAGCGAGAGGCTGTCCGGAGGGACAGCTACACACCAGCTTTTGTTGGATCCCTGCCACCCCAGCAGTCAGGCACAAAGCAGGTCAATGAGACCCCGACAGTTTCTGGAATTTCCTTCGCCTGCCGTGTCTGGAATCACAGTGTCTACTGGTGACTCTGCAGTTTGCTCTCCTCTCTGCATGTTGCTTTTTCCACCAGAATGACTGTATCCCCGTGTCTTCAGTGCTGCAT